GCAGGAAAGCTGACGTTTTGGGCCTAGAACCCTCTTCAGAAAATTTTCTGAAGAAGGGTCTAGGCCCGAAATGTCAGCTTTCCTGCTCCTCTAATGCTGCTTGGCCTGCTGTGTTCATCCAGCTCTACATCTTGTTATCTCAGATAATCTCTCTCTTCTGGGTTTAAGATGCATTAAAGAATAGATTTACACCTGTACTATCCGTTAGTTCTTTAATACCACTACACTTCTTATAGCATTTAAAAATCATGTTATGTCATTATCTTAAGTATTAAAATATCCTGAATATTTAAACAGCTATAATAATGACTTTTGATCCAACAATGGCCTATGCAAACTTCCTTACCTTTTGTTTTGCATACTATGTATACACATGTATTTATATCTACACAAATAAACACACACATATCCGTGCGTGAGAGTGTGAATGACTGAGAGACAGAGCATGCGCATGTTGTGTGAATGAACTTTATATGACAGCCTGAATTACTTCACAGGAGCAAAACTGATATCAAACTATGTAAGGTGATAGGAGGACAAATGGTTAAAAGGTATGTTTGAGTGACAGACAGACAGGAAGGAAGGAAAGGGAGAAAGAGAGGGAGATTTAGAGAGGGAATTCTCATGTTTTGGACCTAGGAAACTGAAAGCATGGTTGATAAAAATCAGGATGAGTACAAGGTCAGAATTGGAGAAGTACTAAGAACCAGGAGGGTTGCAGGATACAGAGTTACGAAGTGATGCAACAAGGGAGGGATCTGAAGATTGTTGACTGAAGTAAACTAATAACCAATGACAATCAGCAAATACTGGCATGATGGATGAAGAAGACTTGGCGAGAGTGTGTCCTAACTTGTCCCGGAGGCAAGCATGACATCAAAGATTCAAACAGGTTCAGCCTCAAGTCAGCTGCCAGGCAAAGTGATGGCGTCAATGACCAAGCACAGAATTTATGAAGAACATGGAAGGCAATGGCTTGGATCTTCCCAAATGCAGGCACACACCCATTCAGATTTTCTCTGATGAGAATTTCAGTTTTCTCACCATAATCCAACCGATTGCACTGTTCTTTACCAAAGATTCACAGCATGGAGCTGGAATTATGTCAATAGGCTGTCAAAAAAGTTACGCATATTAATGGATTTTCACAGACCCTCCAAAAAGGAAACTAAAAGCACCAAAGCAAAACCACTTTTAACTATATTTTTCAAACATAGCAAATTAAAGACTGGGACATATAAATTGGGTGAAGGTAGATGCTAAAATAGACTAAAAATTATTGAAAAGAAATAAATATTAGCATAGAGTATAATTTAACCATGTGACATAGTAAAGTTATAGTGCTTACCAAATCATGCTAATCATATCATCAGCATACAACTGACAGAACTGAGTCATCCTACAATTAATGATCAAATCAAAGCAATGAAGTCCTGCAACAGCCATGAATAGTGGAAGGCAATTAAAAAAAAATAGAGGAGAGGGCACCACAAATATCCCCACCCTCAATGGTGGCATAGCCCTGTACCTCACTGTAAAAAGACAAGGTTGCAGCATTTGCAATCATCTTTAGCCAGAAATAACGAGTGGGTGACTCATCACAATCTCCTCTTGAGGACACAGTCAATCTAATATACTCTACACCGATAATTCACAGTCAACACCACCATCCACCCCTTACAAACTCCAATTCAAAGAGGTTAATTAAAGGTCTGCTAAGGTTACAGGTTAACAGCACTTGATTATAATGTCTTTGCGAGGCACATTGAATGATTTTACTAGTTATTTTTCATCAGTCATATCTATTTACATGCCAACATTTTAAAGAGTCAACATTGGAGGGAAGATCACGTGTAATTATGACAATTTCAAATCCATTTTAAGATGGTTTTGAATATAATCCTTACCACTTTCAGACACAAGAAATGTGACATGGAGTTACACATGCAAGAACTCAAGAACATGCAAGCACATTTATTTTCAGTTCCCACATAAAGAAAGAAGTCAAATTCACTATTGAAGCCACAATTTATGGTTAATTTTGCAGAACAGCAGCAGTAACATGAAGTTCTGTCACTTCAGAAAATGACGAACAACGCAAACAACTGCTTTGATTGTGCAATTTGTCATCACCACATTACCAGAATAAGTTATCAATCACTGAAAACTAAACTGCTGACTGCACTTACCTTCTTCATGATTGTTCTCTCCTAACGGTATACCAACATAAACCATCACATTAACCGCATCTGACACATCCAAATGGAGGTTTGTTGTTCCAACTTTCCGATCTTCTGTTGTTATTAACCCTAATAAAGAACGGCAATGCACTTCATTTATTTTTAACTCCATTATAGCGGCGCATACAATTATCAAGCGTCATTAGCCTGAAGACCAGGTGGACAGTAAATGTTCTTTGAAAAGAGTAAAATGTGCTCTGAAAGATCAATTTGCTTTTATAACCCTTTATAACCAAGTTAATTACTTGCCAAATTAACATATTAGAAACGTGGAAGCTGTGAGAGAAGAGAATCATGACAAAAGTTTTGAACATGCAGAAAAACGTCTTAATGAATCCCATGTCTGATCACCTTCTGCTAGACTGACAAAGAACGTCAATTAGAACAGAAGAGACAAGATGGTCATAGAAGATAAACCAGATCAGAGCTATAAAACAAATCTGTACTTATGGTCTCTTAAACAGTGGATTCAGGTAGAGGTCTCTACTTAATAAATTCAGGGTAACATTTCCTAATCACTTTGTTTTGCTAACATGTCTTTGTAATTTTGCATATGACTTAGACAGAAAAGAAACAAGTTGATCAAGCAAAGTAATTGAGCAGCTTCATTTCACTGATAAGAATGTCAAGAGTGCATTTTATTTGGCTGTCATGACCTTATTTGTATCACCCAATGTTGAATTTCCAGTTACACTTGAAATCCTCCATTAAGTTACACATGAGAGAACTTTCAGTTGTGGCTTACCTTGCCAGAGGCAATGGGAATACAAGTTCCAGCACATCAAATTTTATTATTAGCTTACCTTTACATCTTGCCTAGCCATTATATTTGCCTGAATGAATTACCGCTTGTCATAATTCCTAGGAACTGAAGAAACTGATCTTCCAAGGTTTGAAAATGAATTAAAATATGTACAAAGTATGACACTAGACTCACAATACAATCCATGTGAGTTGAATATTACATATTAATCGTATGCATTTGGCAATATACAGTGCAAGTTTCTGCCTAAGTTTAATGTTTATGTAATCAAAGATTTGGCTAGGATCAGCAACTTTATATCACAGGGATAGAAGAGTTCTGTTGCTTTACTGAAATTCCAGGCTTGGATCAGGATCTGCGTACACAAAAATTTAAACTAAGTTTGCGGAAGGCCAGGAACTAATCTGTTGACATACTTGTGTAAAACAGAGGGAACCTTTTAATACAATTTATGATACTCACCATAAGCATTGTACATCTTTGGTCCAAGGTCAGGGCGTACAAAATAATTTGGGAGCCGTGAAGCCAGATTTAACCTTCCATCTCTCTTTGTGTATTCAGGTAGAGGGAGGTTATTCATCAAATCTTCAAATCTGCATGACAAGAAACAACTGGATAACTTTTTGCATCTACACTCTACAAGCCTGAAGATATCAGCGTGAGCGCAAATTATATTACCTGGTTGGCATCATGTCCCTAAAGTCTTCACCTGGAGGCCAGTCTTTGAGCTTCAATACCATTGGCTGCCCTCCTTCAGATTTCAAACGTTCTGTGGCACAAAAGCATAATTCAAATTGGACTCCAGGAATTTTGAATAGATGGTCATGGCTTCAAACCTTTATCTACGTATACGTATGAAATAGTTTGAATGGACTACTGTCGATATAATCTTCCTCACTCATGAGGTCAGCTCAATTTTTTAAAAAAATTGATTTGCTGATTATAAAGCAATGATTGGGGCATGATCCATTTACAGTATTGACACTATGTACATGTACAATATTTATATATTCTAAGATGAGACAACCAATGAAATTGAAAGGTGAACTTCATTAACAAAACAAGAAAAGGTGATGCTTAGCTTTAATATCAATGCAGATTTCTAATGTCGATACCCAGAGTGGTCAAATTCATGAGAACATACACCATGATGACCAGGAGCCAACAGCTTTAGTAATAGTTGAGCGAGTTATTTCACAGACATGTACAAAATTAGAGACAACTCCAAATCATTTTCATGACCCAGAGTTAGAAGCAGTACAAAAGTACAAAATACTTGAACAAAGTATATGTCTCGGTACACTATGGTCACAGACTGACTTTGGTTACTTTAATCCCGTTGATTATGGCATTGCAAAATTAAAGCATCATCTAAAAACTGATTCGAGGTTTCCAAAACAGATAACGGACAGGCAACAGCCTAGCGGTATTATCACTAGGCTACCAGAGACCCAGGTTCGAATCCTGCCATGGCAGATGGTGGAATTTGAATTCAATAATAATCTGGAACTAAGAGTAAATGATGACCATTAAACCATTATCGATTAGCGATCAGGGACTGGGATTCAAACTTTCTTCTCAGTGTCTACTGTTGAAGTTGCTTCGCTCATCACTTTGGTTCTCGGACAGTGAGTCAGCAGTCATTGGTGAACAATATGGAGGTGAAGATCTCCAAGAGATAATAATTATAGCGTGGTGCCTGAGGCAGAACTATTTAGAACATGCATGGAAGGTATCCTGCCATCTCAAGATGTGTCCAAAAATCAGCAAAGGACTTTCCTGGATGGAAAGCCAAACATTTACTTACACTCGAGGAACAGAAAATCAATTTCCATTAGAATTAGGTACATCCTAACACCAACCGTATATTATAGTTTAACTTTTCAGGCTTTGAGCTCGTACTTTGGGACTGCTGGCTGAATCGTCACTGCTCAATGGACAATGAACAATAGAGTCTGAAATATGCTATTTAAAAACATTCCAAAATACTTTCCTGAAGCTGATGATGAATTCCAAATTACAAACATTGATCTGCCATCTAAGAGTGATTTTTCATTCAACCCGAAGAGCCATATGATACCTGTCCCTTGCAGCCTGAAGCCAGAGAAATTATAATAGGGAATAAAGAAATGGCAGAAAAATTGAACACATACTTTGGTACTACCTTTACAAAGAGGGACACAAATAACCTTCCAGAAATGTTAGGGAACCAAGGGTCTGGTGAAAGGTGGAGAATCAGTTAGAAAATGGTAAATGGGAAATTAAGGTGGTTAAAGGTTGACAAATCACCAGGGCCTGATAGTCTATGTCCTAGAGTACTAAAGGAAGTGGCCTTGGAACAATTGAATGCATTGGTTGTCATCTTCCAAAATTCTCTTGAGCCTGGAACAGTTCTACAGATTGGAGAGTGGCAAATCTAACTCCCCACTATTTAGAAAGGGAGTGAGCCACAGAGAATTAAAGTTAACCAAACATCAATAGTGGGGAAAAATGCTAGAGCCTACTTTACAAGATGTAAGAACGGAATATTTGGAAAGCATTAATGGAATTGGAGGTCTGAATGACTCCTCGCTTCAATGTTTCAATGTAATTACTAAAGTCACTGGTTTACCTCACAAATCAAACCAGTTGATTCTAAACCCTAGGATCTTAGCTGACATGTTGGAGGTGAAATGCATTGATCCTATTCTTTTCCCATGAAAACAGAAATCAGGTGGGCTTGATTGTCAGACCTGTACAGTAGAATGCTCCACTTCTGGTTTCAGGACTTGAAAATTCAGACTTAACACGCTTAAAAATAATCTTTCTACTTACTGGAAATGATCTCAAAGCCATCCCAAAAATCTCGGACTTTCACATCAGAGATGATGGCACAGTTCCTACAGTTGACCAGATCAACCTCCTGGTCCCCAAACTCCCGGCTGAAAGCTTCAGGTTTCCAGAGGGCTGAATTCAATTTCTTATGGACACCGGACACCAGCACCGGCTAGGAAGAGAAACACAGGATTCATGTCGAAAATGTCAAAAGTTTCAAAGCACTCTTGAATTGAGTTGTGGTGTTTTTTTTTAAGTGAATGACCACACAATGCATCCAAGTGAAATAATTACCGATAAACATGGTCAGCAGTAAAATAAATATCAGGCTACACAATGAAGCTGAGCCCACAGACGAACAGTCACAATGTCACAACAGGAGAATCCAAATTCTTTTACTGTTTGTAAGAAGCAATATAGTATTTATTTTAAACAATTACAACTTTGAGGCTATTTCACAGATTACCGGTGTGAACTAATCAGTTGTGTTAAGTTCTTAAAAGATAAAGCACAGGCTGCATTTTTACATGCAGATGTGGGATCACACTCTTGAAATACATGACCAAGATAGAAAGGAAGCAATTTTTTTACCTCTGCAATTGATCTGTACATAAAAAAACAGAATGAACTTATTGCAAAATGTGACAATGGACTAAAATTCAAGGCCAGTTTGAATTGTTGTCACTCTGAACTATCACGTGAAGACAATTTTCAATAAACCGTGTGAAATGATCCACAGAGCTGCTTTACAGGTTTGAAGTGCTTAACTGGAAATTTTTTAAATTGCTGCATAGCAATGAGTGGCATGAATAGGAGGGGTTTGATGACATAGCAAACTTCCACATGATGCTTCCAGACCAAAATAATAACATAACAGGAGGGCAAAGTAACTAATAATGCCATGATTTTTTAAATGGTTATTGCATGTCCAGGTTGAGTATGACTGGAAAAATCCATTGAATGCTAATAAACAATTCATTTTACAGTGCATTCCCAAACAAAGGATATATGTCCATGCAGAGCCTTGTACCCATACCACACTAAAAGTGACTTAATCTTCACACTTGTACCATTAGCTAGCCAACCAGAAACTGATTCACAGACTTGCATTCATGCATTCAATTATATAGGATCATTCTTAATGTCTGGAATGGTTACCTGTCCCTGCTTCCAGCATTCCCTAAAGATTTTCCAGTTATTTTTGTTGCTGGGGTCTTGCAGGCAGAGCAGACGACCATCACAGAGCCAGCAGTGTTGTGTGTTTGGGTCCAGAACACTCATTTCCATTACACCTTGTTTTTTACTCTCCTTCAGTGCCTCTGCAGGATTCCCACTTCGCTTTGATGTATCTGTAGACATTTTGTTCTCTACCACTGATGCAATTATGTGATCCAGAAAGTTTGGGAGGCCCCCCTTCCCCTTGTCAGCCTGTATTAAAAACACAAAGAACTGAGTTAAATAATAGCCATTAATCAGTCAGATAAAATAAAATAACTTAAAAGTTTCCTTTGAGGGAGGCACCTAGGATGTAATATTTTGGGCTACTAACATAGAATCTATAACAGAGGAATGACAAGGCTGTTGAAATGCCTCTAACCCAAAGATCACTTCTACTTCCCTTCAAATGAGACCAAGTCCATATATCCACCTCATTTGTAATAAGAAATGCGTCCATCTTCAAAAGGTTTCTAATGATTTTGTAATCATTTAATTAGTATTAATTTCTAATCTTGTAATTGTAGTTCTCTGTTTAGCTGAAAATAGTTTCTCCACTGTTCACACCAGTGATTTGCTGCCCAATGTAATGGCTACATCATACTGACTTAGTATGTACATTCAGACAAAACTGATTTACTGGATTAAAAACTCAGCAGCATCCCTGTTGACTTTCTCTGAATTTTTACCATTCCTGCCCTTTTTTAGAAGCATGGAGCCAACTTTGGGCATGATAATGTCACCATTTATGAATAGTATTAAAGTTGCTTCAGACTTGAGGTGCACAGATCAACAATCATGATGTCAGCATCATGGCTGGGCCAAGCTCTGTTGTCCACTCTTGACTGCCAGAGGTTGGATTGGGGGAAAGAGAGAAATGGTAGTGTAGTTCCAACAGTCAGGATGGTGTTTAGCTTGTTGGATTTGCATTCTCATGCGTACATCTAGTGCACTTGGTCCTGTGTGTGTTTTGGCAGTTGTGGGTTTATGAGGTGCTGTTTGGGGATTTGGATTTTGGATGGTGGACTTTACTGCCACTACACAGGCAGTGGAGGGAGTCCATATTAAAGGTGATGGATGGGGTGCCAATCAAGTGGACTGCTTTGTCTGGATGGCATTGAACCCTTTGGGTATTGTTGAAGCTTCACTCATCCGGGCATGTGGAAGGGGTTCTCCTAGCTTGTCTCTTGTGGACAAGCGTAGAGAGGTAGGAGGTGAATTATTTAGTACAGCAGATTCAAACAGAAAACAGTGATGTCGTACAAATACAAGGGAAGCTTTAACCTGATTGCCTGCACTTTGGGGAACAGTCACCCACTTTACGCTTGCATCTTTCCTGATGTACTCGGCAAAAGACAACACTGCCGCAGACATTGTGCCACATGCCAGGGTCTCCTTGGAACCGCAGAGGAATTGGAGGGGGTCGTTGGGGAATCCATGTGTGGTCATCTATACATTGGAACTAATGACATTGATAGGAGTAGAACAGAGAATTTGCTGTAAGATTTTGAACAGTTTTGATCTAAACTAAAAAGCATAATCTCCAGGTTAACAATCTCTGGATTACTTTCTGATCGACGGGCACACTGGCATTGGGTAAATGAAATCAAAGAGTTAAATGCATAGCTCAAAGAGTAACATGGGTGGAATGGTTATAGTTCATGGGGCATTGGCACGAGTACTGGGGTAGAAGGGAACTGTTCCAGTAGGCCAGACTTCGTGTGAACCATGATGGACCAGTGTCCTGGAAAACTGAGTAATTAAGGCAATGGAGAGGGCTTTAACCTAATTTTTTTTTGGTTGTGGAGGGGAGTCGCAAAGGGCGAGAGAGATAAAGATGTAGGCGATTGGCAGAGGGGAAATATAGGTTTACAATCACAAGAGCATTGCAGAGCAGCTGTGTGGATAACTACACCCAGAGTGTGACAGGAAAGGACTGGGCGTAAAGAAGAAACAGCAGCAAACAGGGTCAAGGGGTGGGAATAAAAATGGTATAAAGGCAAAATTAATGATTCTTTACTTGAATACATGTAATGCTCAGAGCAAAATAAATTAAACAACAACATAAATTTAGGTTCATGGTCATATATGTGATCATACAGCCATTATGGAGACACGACTACAAGGAGATCCGAGTTGGGAATGAAATATTCAGGAGTACGTGACATTTTGAAAGGACAGGAAAGAAGGAAAAGTGGTGAGGTAATGTTGTTGGTATGGGATGGAATAAGTACAATAACAAGAAATGATCTTGGATCAGAAGGTGTAGAATCCATATCGGCAGAGGTAAGAGATACAAGGGAAGATAACACTGGTACAAGTAGTCTGAAGGCCCCCTAACAGTAGCTATATGGCAGGACATAGAATAAATCAAAATAATGAGGACATGCAGGAAAGACAGTACATTAATCATGGATGACTTTAATCTTCAAGTAGATTGGGAAAGTAAAATTGGCAGAGATAGCCACATTGAAAAATTTGTAGCTTTATTTGGAACAGTTTCCTGAAACGATATATTGTTCATCCAACCAGGAATTAGATTATTTTGTATCTAGTAATGTGAAATGAGTCAGATTTAATAAATGATCTCAGAGTAAAAAGTCCCCCAAAAAACAGCGATAGTTACTAGAATTCAGCATTCTGTGTGACCGTGAGAAACGTGGGTCGAAAACAACTGTCCTAATCTTAAATAAGGGTGATTACAAAAGAATGAGGGCAGCAGTGGCTAGAGGGTGGACTGGGAAAGGGGTTTAAGTAGCAAAGACAGTTGAGGAATAATTACAGACTTTTAAATAAAATAATTCATGGCTCACCACAAAGATATATTTCTAAGTTAAAGACAGCATCAAACTGATAAGAAAAAAAACATACAAGGTGAAGGAGATTACTCCTAAGACAGAAGATTGAAAAAATTTAAATATCAGGAAAAAATAATAAAAGGGAGAAAATAAACTTTGAGGGCAGATTTACGAGCAATATCAAAAAGGACAGCATAGGCTTCTCTAAAACATTAAATGGTGGAAAGAGGCCAAAATGAATACTGGTCTTTAGACAATGAGGTTGGGAAAACAATAGTGAGAAACCAGGAAATGGCAGAGGCGATAATAAATAATTTTTATTAGTCTTCACAGTAGAAGACACTAAAGCATTCCAAAACTATTAAATGATCTAGGGGCAAGAGGAGAATTCGGAAAAAAATTAAATAATAATCACAAGATAGTACGAGACAAATTAATGAGGCTAAAAGCTGCAAAGTCCTTTGGATATGAGGAGATACTACATTGAATATTCAAGAATGTAACTAGAAAGATAATGCATGCACAGGTAGTACTCTTCCAAGGATCCTTAGATTCTGGAAGAGTTCTAGAGGATTTAAAAGCTGCCAATGTAACACCCTTATTCAAAAGGGAAGGGAGGCAGAAACAGTTAACAGTAAGCAAGGGGAAAATATTTGACATTATTATTAAGGATTCAATAGTGAAGAATTTAGAACATTTTAAATTCACTCATGGGACATGGACGTTGCTGGCTGGCCTGCATTTATTGCCTGTCCCTAGTTGTCCCTGAGAAGGTGGTGGTGAGCTGCTTTCTCAAACTGCTGCACAATGCCCTTAGATCCCAGCTAAGCGAGGGAGTTTCTTACGACCACAGGAGGAGGAGGTTGGGCCTGTACTCATTGGAATTAAGAGGAACAGCCAACCTTATTGAAACATACAAGATTCTTAAGGGGCTTGGGAGGGTAGATGCTGAGAAGATAAAAAAAATGCTGGAGATCACAGCGAGTCAGACAGCAACCATGGAGAAAAAGCAAGTTAACGTTTTGAGTCGAGATGACTCTTCATCAGAGCTGAGATTTTGTTCCCCCTTGGAGAGTCTAGGACCACAGGCATAATCAGAGTAAAGGGGTGCCCACTTGGAATGGAGATGGGAAAGAACTTCTTTTCTCAGTGGGTAATGAATTAGTGGAATTTTTTTTAAACTGCAGAAGGCTGTAGAGTTCGGAAAGTACAGTTGAATATTATCAAATCATTGAAACTCAGAGCTGATTTGATTTCCTTCTTCAATAGGAAATTCTAAATACTCTAGTTAGAAGGCAGTAGGTTTGGATCGAGGTGAAAAACTATCATCTTTTTTCAATGTCCAGAGTTTCAAACATTAGACACACCTACCGTTGAAACGGACGTGAAGACAGATGGAAATGGAAGGCTTGCCTCAGCAGTTCCCCGCTGTAATTTTCCTGGGGCAGAATTCAGAAGATCCCTAAGGCTCGACCCTTCTGTCTTTGTGGTTGAAGGTCCTCCAGACAAAAGGCTGCTAAATGGCTCTAATATGGAGGGAGGCTTAGATAAAGCGTTAAATGAGTCCAGTGCTAAGGGTGGCCTGGAATCTTGGCTTTGATTCAACACAGATCGCAAAGAATTGGCGCTTTCTGGAAAGGAAGGAAAAACAAAATTCTGAATTTATTGATATGGATTCAAGAAGGCAACAGGTATGCTCTTTGCTTGTTATTCATGTTGGCCAAGATTGTTATTAATACAAAAGAAAGCTTCTATAAAGACCTTTGCAGTGACCTGAATCAAAGTTATTAGCAGAGGTTTAAAATTTTGGATATTTGGTTCTGCACTTCAGATATACATCATCACAAATTTGGCCCAAGATACCTCACAACAGAAAGAGAGGTATTACCACTGCTGTAACAAGATCCTGCAAGACACTACATACTATTATCCTAAACAATCCTCCAATCAATCTCTGGATGCTATGTTTCACCACACTATTTAGCAGTGCAAAAGTGGGCGTTCATTTGTGGATGCCAGTCTGCCCGGCGAGATCTAATGCCATGTTCCCTTGAGAGTATTTTCAATATTGATAAAATCATGGTACACTAATCAAGTTGTTTCCTCTAGGAGGATGCATCCGTTCTTTCTCCTGAAGGAGACAGAACATAATAACAACAAATACTTACTACTGCAGGATCCTTGTTCTACTGCATTTTTAAAGCTCAAATTTATCAATAACAGCATGAAAATTCTGAGGTAACAAAATGCAAATCATCAGGTTACCAGTTGTTACAACACATGGTGAAAATGATCTACAGGTCATTATGCTGTACGATTATGCCCAGTATATACATTAGAGGGTCACCACTGATTGCTGCAAAAACCCAACTAGTTCTCTAACAGAAAAGGGAGGAGGCACTGACTTCATGACAATGTCACTGGACTAGAAATACAGTCCCTGCATTTAGCAACAGGTGTTACTATTAATCATATTCACACAAAGTGCCTAACTGTTAAGCTACATTGAGAGGCCCTTGCGTTGCTCAGATATTGTCCCTACCTCTAGACCAGGAGGCCCAGGTTCAAATCCCACCTGCTCCAGAAGTGGGTTATGACATCTGAGCAGGTTGATGAAAAACGTTGATAAGTTAGAAGGAAGGACCAGGTTAGCAGTGATCAACATGGCACCATTTTTACAAGGATAGAGAACAAGTGACTGCATAAACTCAGTTAGTATCCAAGCTCAAGAATATGGAAGATTTTAGGTAGAAGTTATACAATCAGTGTTTTAAAATGACAAAAGAATTTGGCACAGCAGACACAGAGAAACTACTATGAACAGAATCAGAAATTGATGAAGTAGATTGGTGGACCTAATAATACAAAGATAACCAACATAACTCAATCAGTACAACCAAAAACGTTCAATTGTGTCGTTACTTGTCGGCTTTGCTAAGTGCAAATTACTTGCTGCATTTTATTGCTCCTCACTGGGTTGGGTATGCTGGAAATCATGCCCTGGTATTCTCAGAGTCATCACAAAAGTTAAAGGTTTTAAAAAGTACACAGGATTCCCCAAATTACTTGACTTTAGAGTTAAGTTGACAGAAAGCATGGGCCACGTTTCTGTACTCAGCAAAAATGACTACTTATTACAAAAAAATTCTAACTGTAGGTGAACAATTTTCAATCAGCAGCAAACAATTCCTTAGCTAAAACTGTATAAACTTCCCTTTGTGTACACACACGTAGACATTGACATTATGGATGGAGGGAAGAACTGGTTCCTGTCTGCAGGGATTGCTGAGATGATTCTCTTGTGGATCAGATGCTGCTTCTCGATCTCCCTTCTCTAGATACCTTCACCATTTACAGAAGGCACAGGGTAACTTGCTCATACTTATAAAGGCCTTTGACTTATCAATTAAGTGACAGCTTACAGCAACTGGAAAGGGGAATTAAACTGGCTATCTGATGGCTTGAGGTGCTTTTCATTGCAGAGCAAAAACAGCTCCTTCTCCTCCAGGGGTCTGATGGTTTCTTCTAAAACATTCACATGCCAGCTGTTCATCAACCCTAGGAGTTAATCAGAGAGTTGTTGGAAGGCAGAAGACCTTTATTATCAAGTGCTAGTCACTAGTCCACAGGCCAATCAACTACTTGCTGCCAGCTAATGTTCCATGCATACATAGCCCTTGGTTTCAGCTGGTCTGCAAACTCGGCTTCCAATATGGCTTAACCAAGCAGCTATGAATACAGTACTTTAAATGAATGCCAGATTACTTGCTTTCTAAAAGGGCAGTGATCCTTTAACATCTTTGGTTTTTAAAACAGTTCTTAAATCTGTATTGCAAAACTGAAGGACAGCTGGATTAAAAATGTGATGATTGTGATCTTGAAGTGAAGATGCTGATTCCAGAAAATATACCCACGTTGGAGAGTATGCGTTAATTCTTATGTTGATTTTCTCTAAGCCTTAATGGTAAAATTTTCCACTCGAATAATTTCCTTTATTCATTTTACTTTTTAATCTCTTCAAAACAAAAACTCCCCTTCTCTCCAAACTTTCCTCAGTTTTACAAACTTGCTGATGGTGACATCATTTGCCATCTGGTAACAACTAATGGATACTACACCTGTGCAATTTAGAGTCCATTGACACTTTGAACATGATCTGGATTTGTCCAATTTGGATCAAATGTGACAGATTTATACCTTTAACACAACCCTCAATGCATTACCATGATTATTAATTAACATTTCATTGCAAATATCAGTCAAAATGGCTATTTCACAACTACCACTAAATACAAAACCAAAAGATTATTTCTGCATAGTTAAAAATGCTTGCAAAACCCTCTCCCCAACTGATAAAGTCAACAGCCCAGCATCCCATTCCATTAATCAAACTCTAACATGCTAATCATAAAGTAACAGAATAGCACAATCATGAAACAGATTGGACAATTAACAAGACAAAGGAAATTTACCTTTCTTTTCCTCCTTTGCTTTCTGTGTAGCTAAGTCAGCCAACCAGTGTAATGCTGATGTAGTGTCTGCTGAACTCAATGTGCCATCCTTTAAGCCAGCTGTGGTGGATACCCCTTCGTTGTCACCTACAAAGCTTAAATTATTGCAACTGCTCTCACCCTGGCTCATGGTATTGTTTTGACTCCCCTCACTGCTGCTGTTGGCTGGGTCTGGTTTCACTTCCACTAGACCACCATCAGGTTGAGGTAAAATAACGGAGCCTCCACTGCTTGGTGACACCTCATTCACAGCAAGTGCACTGGTAGGATTTGGAAGAATACTTGAAAGCTAAAAAAAAGTCCAGAATTTCAAACAACATTAAAACATTAATTTAAAAATGCCAAGGCTGGATTAAATGCATAGAGGTTTGTATGCCAAAACAAGCCATTCAACCTAAGGAAGTTTGTATTGCTTATCCATTCCACAAACAAACAGTTCTTATATCTTTATATTAATCTATATTATTTCCATATCCCTTCTTCCACCTATTTGATCATCAATAGTGACACAGTTTGTACCTCAACAACCAACCCTGAAGATGAATTTCATAATCTCAAAACTCTTTAAAGTTCCTCATACTCATTGCTTTAAATCTGGTGTCATTAACCTTCATTCTTGAGCCCTCAACAATTGGATACAGTATGCTTTAATAGACCCCCATCCTTTCAGAATTTTAAACATTTCTATTTTATTGATCAGTTTTGTGTATTGTTTATATTAAAAAATCTGAAGTTTTTCTTCATATTTATGTTTCTCTGCACCAGTCAGCATCGCTAAAATCCTCTCTTAGCCATTCATACTACTGAGGTTTATTAACATTTTCTCAGCTTTTCATTAACCTCTTGGCTTTTATATTCTTTCAAGGTCCTGTCCCAGCACTCCCACATGTCCCCTTGCTTTCCAATCACGGTTTGCTTTCAGGGTAAAATTACTGCAGTTTGCTTCAACCAAAATGCAATATAAATGGACCATTCATCTGATCATAAAATATAACTAACTATCACAAATAACACTTCTTATTGCTCTGCTTTTGGACCATAGGGATAGTTTTACTTCCTTTTAATGCTGCAATTAACTCCTTACACTCTTCCTCCATCATGCACTTTACTAGAACTTCCTTTGTGCAAACAACAATGCAACTAAAGTCATAAAAAATAAGAGCAAGCAAAACTAAGCAGGTCTGGCAGAAACGGTGAAGAGAGAGAATAGTTAATGTTTTGAGTTCAATATGACTCATTCAGAACGAATATATTCCTCAGCTTTTGGGATATCTGTTCCTCATATTTTAGAATTTGAGCACAAGGGATCTCAATGCAAAATACAGAGATATTCCTATCATGAAAATCTAATTTTGTAGGAACACAAACACAGGACTAGCTCAGTGGTGAAAGTGCCTAATCACATAAGATCCCTTCTACAAGTTTTCTCCAGGTATATATTTAGCTGTCTCAAATTTTCTGATTGAAACAGACACCTATTTCTCCACTGAGAATGCATTTCTCACTTCTACAATTCCCCTCTACAGTTGTTAAAATCTCAACTTCCATTTTCAAATTTTGCCACTTCTTGATTTTAATCAGATTAACGTTTCTCCTGTCTGTGCTCTTCAAAACCCTGAAGACAGATTAGCAGATTTTAAATTAGCTACTCATGAATGCTAAGTTCCAAATGCCAATAATAAAACATACCTGTGACACTCCATTTGGTGCTGCTGGCTTGGGCAGAGGTTTGAGCTGTTTGGTAATACAAGGGCAGTTGGCTTTGATTCCCCACTTTCCCCTTGTTGCATGGACCATATCTCCAATATCATAAAGAGCTGTTGATTGAGAGATGAATATTTTCAGAAATGATGAGGTCAAGCTGATGAAGGCCAGCGGATTCTTTAATATATCTCAATTAATAACATCCTTTTAACTTTGCTTTGAACACACGTAGAAGACAATAAAGGCAGAATGCAGAAATTTTGATGTACAGGAATTATATATAAAGCTGAACAATTTAATGATACTAATATCCAAAACAGAAAGGGTTTTAGGATTAGATTTGGCATTTGGTCCTAATATTACAACAGGGTGGATTGCCTTTGCAACAGTTCAGTACAGACAAGATTGCAGATGCAGGGTCCTTTTCCGTAAATGAAGTTAGATAATTGCAACACATAAATGATCAGAAAATGCAGATGAGTGCACTCTGGCAAGCTGATATAGTTCAATATTACATCAAGGGAGTACGTTCACATAATACATTTGCTCAGGAAAGAACAATTTCAAGAATTGCTAATTTTTCTAAAATACATCTTTGAAAATTCACATGAAATAAACAGTAAACTTGTTCTTCAGCCAATAGTGACACAGGAGTAATGATACAACTATTAAGCTAAGTGGAGCGAGATGACCTGCCCCAGTTCTTTCAAAGGTCTGCAATTGTAGGGCATTTCTCCAACAGTGAGATAGCACTGATGCCTATAAATATGTGACAGCTCAAAGAACAAGGGAAAATTTGTAGCGTATAAGAAGCCTGCATTCAGTGCAAACAGGGGAGGTGATAGCCAACTGGTATTGTCCACTATAGCCAGACTATTAACCCAGAAACTCAGGCAATATTCGAGGCACCCACGTTCAAAATCTGCCATGGCTATGGTGGAATTTGAACTCAATAAAATTGTGGAATTGAAAGGCTAATGATGACTGCAACGCCACTGCTGATTGTAGGGAAAAGGTTCATCTGGTTCATTAATGTTCTTTAGGAAAGGAAACTGCTCTTCTTATCTGATCTGGACTAAAGCAACTCCAGATCCATGTGCTTGACTCTTAACTGCCCTTCAGTAATTAAGATGGGCAATAAATACTGGCCAAGTGAGCGATGCCCGCACCTGTGAATGAAATAAAAATAATCTCGACGGTTAACTTGGAATAACCAGGCACCCCCATACTGCTGATGCTAATACTTAGCCATATTCCAGAGAAATGATTTCCTGCTTCAGAATAACAAACATATCAATTTAGATTGCCATTATGCAAGTTTGACAGCAATTTGTCTACAATAATACACAATGCTTCTACATAAACAAGTGATTTAAGGTGGGATATAACAGAGCAGCAGGGAGTCAAAGTTGGCAGTTAACATTCTTGAGAGAGACAGACTGATTGGCATGGAGTAAATAATATAACACTTATTTAATATAAACAGCAGCACATTACTGGTGCTTACTAACAATTCAATATAACTTTCCCTATAAAAGCAATGATTTATGTTTCAGGACAAGGAAACTAGGCAATAAAAGAGTTTGCTACCGAATAGCATCTGCAGACCATTTTGTATTTGAATTCACAAATGTTACTGCTTCCACTAATGAAAATATTTATTTACATTAATATAAGTATGTATTTATCCAGCTATTATGCAAACATTCTTTACCATCTCAAATCCTGAACGTAGAGTCAAAGAAACCTTCAGTTAATAGTAGCTCTGGCAGAAAGAAAAAAAATGCCTTCAGGTGGATGCAAAGATTTATTTTCTGCCCACTGTTCCTAACTTAAGACAGAGGCACTGTGGCGTAGAAGGTGTTCAATTGGTAATTATCAGTGGAAATAAGTTTGGAAGTATGACAGAGTCGATGAGGAACCCAGAGGCTGTTATTCACAAAAAAGAGTTTCAACAGAACAGCAAAAATATTAGTGTGCAAATGCTCCATTCAGCCAGTTTTAGCAATACAGGCTCACGTCTATTGTGTCACACATAGCCAATTTCTAACCTCAAGTTAACAAATACCTGACCAAATGAAAGTGAAATGGACAGGTTGCTTGTATCCAGGTCATGTAGCAAAGAAAGGGGCTTGGAAGTGATTTATAGTGTGATGTAAAATGTTACCAGCATCATAAAAATACAAACACCCTGTGAGTGACTAAGTTTCTTTTTAACGCCTGAACGAAAGGTAGTTTTATAATTTACAAAACATGTACTAACCAGTGCTAGGAATAATTTGTGTTGGCATTAAATTCTCTGGTTCATGGGTCTGTCCCTTAGCACATTTCAACCAGGAGAAAACCTCATCTTCAAGACTGTCATCATCCACTGAGAGGAGAAAAACAAAACAAATCGGACATCATGTACTAAAAGAACAAAGGATCATAGAAGTATGCAATTGTTCATTTATTACTATAGATTGCATTTACAATCAAGATTTTGCATTTACATTTTTCAGCCCCTCTGGCAGTCCCACCATGGCTGGGTGGTTAATCTCAAAGAATATATTTTTATAAACAAATCTAATATCACACCCAAACTATTGTTCTTCATTGCCTCATCACCTGTGCATACAAGGATAACACGTTTCATTATCAGCCTTTACACTGTCTGCTGTTCTTTGTTATTCTCACTCTCATAGGGTATGCAAACATACTTTAGTACCTGCACTCGAATATGCACCTGGCTTCTATCCTGATTTCCACAATTTCTAGGAATATTACATCAAGGTCACTATTACTTCACGAGTTGAAATCTGCCCTTGGCTTTACAATTTCTACCAGGATACTGGCGTTGGTTTGATTCAGATGAAATATGCCAGATTTTACAGCTTCCCCTTCTCTTTATATCTCTTTAGCAATATTGTATGAATTTGAAGACAAGTACTGTTGCGAGGAGTGTCAAACAAAATCTAACACAGCATCACAAAAAGCAATGTTAGGATAGCTTAGTGCATAATGTAGATCAGAGGAGCAGCTTAAAGGAGAGATCAAGAGATAACGAGGCTTTGGGCACAGTTCCAGCGTTTAGGGCTCAGCCAACTGGATACATGGTGATGCAATTAAAACTATACCAAACCCAATTCTTCAACTGAAACACACCAGGGATATACATTCCTCTTCAGTAATTGGTGGTACCTCCAAGACAGTCCATACACATCATTAGATCTTGTTACCATACCCTCAGTTCTAGGTGGTTCTAAACTGACTTAACTGGAACAATTTCTTACTTGCCTGTTTAGTCATGTTGTCAACGCCAAATTTCTGTTCAGGCAATCTGGATTAACTTTATAAAAAAAACCCATCACTTCAACGTCATTCTCAACTATCCCCTTACAGGTCAAAAGCCTCTTGCTAACACGACTTTATTATACTCGATTTACATTTTACTTAATTGTGAAAACAAGTTTTTTACTAAGGGCAAGATACACAATGGCTACGATATGTGCCATTTCACTGTTAGTAATATTGCTGTACTAGTCCATGCTACTTATTAAGTTAATCACACATTTTTACAAAAAATATAACTGTGGCTACAAAATAGGTGCTGTTTTATCACACTATTGGATGCAATCCCTCCAATTTAACAAGTTATTGTATTCACATTGTTTCCGTACCTTGTGGTGGTCGCCCCTTCCTCATCCTGTAACAGTCGAGACACACACCAAAACCGCATTTACGACAGACCCAGTGGATGTTAAACAGAGTTGTTTCACATGCATCACACATCTCACGAATACCCCGCACAGCTCGTTTCCATGCCAGTTGTTCTAGAAACAACAAGAATAAAATACAGTCAATCACACGAGAATATTAAATAAGGCATTTACTCGGCTCACAAAACTGTTGATCAATTTAAACAAGGAGAATTTCAACACTGGCACAATTAACATGAACAATATTTCAAAATTTGTATTTCAAACATTCCAATCATTCACAAATACAGAGGAGCTCTCTGCAATGCACTGCATCAAATAGATACAGATTATCTTCAATTTTGTATGAGTTTCATAGTTATGTGCAAACGTACCACAACCATACAAACTGTGGTTGTAAAGACAGATTATTTGAAATTAGAATAGTCAGGAAAGTCTGAGGCTGTATGCTAAATTTGCATAATGGCACAACTAGGTTAGATGTTGGGATGTTCCTCTATTCCCATAGCAACATAGACACAAAGAACGAGACGTTTATTTCTGCAGTCTGTACAAATTTGATGTGAATCTGTGAAAGACAGACCTATCTGTTGCCGGCTGGGGCACTGGTCATAACGTATAAAACATAGCCAAAAAGATAACACAAAATGTAGTCAATATACTTTCTTGGATTTGCACTAGCAACAAACAGCCAAAAGATTACATACAGATATTTACCACTTGTGAATAACCTTGGAAATTTCTACCTGTTTTTACTGCTTCTCAAGAGATTGCGCGGCTACTGGCAAGTGATAGTGGTCATAAATTAAACTCCCATCTGTCACTCCTCAGCCCATCGGTCCAATTGATCAAGATCCCTTTGTAATCTTAGATAACCTTCTGGGGATCCGGGTTCAACTCCCGCCATGGAAGACGGTGGAATTTGAATTTGATAAATATCTGGAATTAAGAATCTAATGATGACCATGAATCCATTGCCGATCGTCGGAAAAACCCATCTGGTTCACTAATGTCCTTTAGGGAAGGAAACTGCCTTCCTTACCTGGTCTGGCCTACATGTGACTCCAAACCCACAGCAATGTGGTTGACTCTTAACTGCCCCCTGGGCAATTAGGGATGGGTAATAAATGCTGCCTAGCCAGCGATGCCCTCATCCCGTGAATGGATTAAAAAAAAATCGTGACAGTAAGGCATTATGACTGCATGAGATAAGATGAATGGACAGGCCGACCTTTTCCTGTTGTTCATCTCTCGAATGTTCATATCATGTAGTGTGTTTCTTCCTAAAAACCCAGATTATTTTCAACAGTGTGGCATCAAGAAACCCTAGCAAAACTGGAGTCAATGGGAATTGGGGGAAAGCTCTCTGCTATCTGGATTCATACCTGGCACACAGGAAGTTGGTTGTGGTTGTTGCAGGGCCGTCATCTCACTTCCAGGGCATCACTGTAGGAGACCCTCAGGAGAGTGTCCTAGATTCAACCATCTTCAGCTGCTTCATCAATGACCTTCCCTCCATTATTAGATCAGAAATGGGGATGTTCATTGATAATTGCATAATATTCAGGACTATTCATGACTCCGCTAACACTGAAGAAGTCCATGTCCAAATACAGCAAGACCTGGGCAACATTGTGTTTTGGGCTGACAACTGGCAAGTAACACTCGTGCCACACAATGACCATCACTGATAAGACAGAATCTAATCATCGCCCTTTGACATTCAATGGCATAACCGTCACTGAATTCCCCTATATCAACATCCTGGGGGTTACTACTGACCAGAAACTCAACCGGATTTGCCATATAAATAAAGTGACTAAAACAGCAGGTCAGTGACTAGGAATACTGCAGTGACTAACTCACCTCCTGACTCCCCAAAGCCTGTCCATCATCTACAAGGCACAAGTCAGGAGTCTGATGGGATAGTTTCTACTTGCCTAGATGAGTACAGCTCCAACAACACTCAAGAAGCTTGAAATCATCCAAGACAAAGCAGCCTGTTTGATTGGCACCACATCCACAAATGTTCATGACCACTGCAATCCAGAAGAACAAGGGCAGCAGGTACATGGGAACACCTCAACCTGCAAGTTCCCCACCAAGCCCCACACTGTCCTGGCATGAAATATATTGTCATTCATTCAATGTCGCTGGGTCAAAACTCCTGGAATTCCCTCCCTAATGGTATTATCTACCCACACTACGTGAACTGCAGAGATTCAAAAAGGCAGCTCACCAGCACCTTTGTGAGGGTAGCTAGGGATGGGCAATAATGCTGGTCTAGCCAGCGATGCTCACATCCCTTGAATGAATAATAAAGTCTCCATACAAGAGTTAAGGCTATTGAAGGAATACCGCATGTCAGTATTAAACAAATACTGAGTGCATGTATAATCAAAGCAACAGAAACTGTCACTTCACAACTACATTTGCAAAACAACTATCACTGAGGCCAGTTACCACATGCTTTTGGAGAGGTTTCAAACTAATTTGGCAGGGATGGGAACCATAAAATAGTTGGAAGCAGCAATGACATTAGAGGACGGAGATACGAACAGTAGTAAAATAAGAATATCCCAAAAACTGCAGAGACCTGATTAAGGAAATCACAGAAATGGTCATGGAAGTGTTAAACTGTAGGCATGTCAACGTCCACAGTGTAACTGGTGAGCCACAGGCACATTCTAATATGCAATTATGATATGGTCACTGTAACAAGGCCAGGCATGAGTTTGTAATATTCCTAGTTACCAAGAGCTCTAGAATGATAGAGAAAAAGAGGATGGGCCATTCCAGCATTAATTCAGTTTGCTGTTACAGTTCTCCGTAGAAAGGACAGCCGACTACCTTCCAATGGTAACCCTATTAAAAAGATAGGATTGCCTACTTTCCTGTCAGTCATTTCTTTGGTCCTCAGGCCTCCATAGTAGGAAAACATCTTGTATGTACTGAGAAGGGCGGGCACCGGGGGCCAATACTGCATCCCTCCCACCCTCTTTTATGGCAATAACTGATGCATTCCAATAAAGCAAAAGTTTGAAGATCTCAAAGAGACAGTAGGAATTGCCGATGCTGGAGTCTGAGATAACAAGGTGTAGAGCTGGACGAACACAGCAGGCCAGGCAGCATCAGAGCAGCAGGAAAGCTGACATTTTGGGTCTGGACCCTTCTTCAGAAAAGATCTCAAAGCTACTTTGACAGCTACTGACAGAAATGGGTAAGGTAGCAGAGGGGGCAGGATGGCAGGTGGGTGTGGGGGAAAGTGGGTGAGAAGAGGAAGTGCTGGAGTTCTTAAAAAAAAAAGGTGGATAAGTCTCCGAGATCTGATCAAGTGTATCCCAGGATGTTGTGGGTAGTTAGGGAAGAAAATGTGGGGCCCCCTTGCAGAGATATTTGCATCATTTACAGCCACAGGTGAGATACCAGAGGACTGGAGGGTGGCTAATGTGCCTTTATTTAAGAAAGGCTGCAAGAAGCAGCCCAAGAACGAGTGACTGGTGAGTTTGATATCAGTGTTGATTAAGTTGTTGGAGGGGATTCTGAGAGATAGAATTTACATGAATTGGAGGGGCAAGGGCTTATTCAGGATAGTTAGCATAGCCAGGTGCGTGTGAAATCATACCTCTCAAACTCGAGTTCCTTGAGGATGTAACAAAAAAAAACTGATGAAGGCACAGCGATAGACGTTGTCTATGTGGACTTTAAAGCCTTTGACAAGGTTCCGCATGGTAGATTAGTTAGCAAAGTTAGGTCACACGGGATTCGGGGAGAGCTTGCCAATTGGATACAAAATTGGTTTAACAGTAGGAGATTGAGGGTAGTGGTGGTGGAAGATGGTTTTTTGGACTAGAGGCTTGCAACCAGTGGTGTTCTGGAAGGGATAAATGCTGGGTCCACTTTTGTTTGTGCTTTACATAAACAATTCAGATGAGAATTTGGGAGGCATGGTTAGTAAGTTGCAGGTGACACCAAAATTGGTGGCATAGTCGACAGTGAAGAAGTTTATCCAAGATTACAAAGGGATCTTGATCAATTGGGCCGATGGACTGAGGAGTGACAGATGGAATTTAATTTGGATAAATGCAAGCTTTGCATTTTGGTAAAGTGAATACGGGCAGGACTTACACAGTTAATGGTAGGGCCCTGGGAAGTGTTGAACAGCGAGACCTCAGGTGCAGGTACACAGTCCTTTGAAAGTTGCATCACATAAAGACAGAGTGGTTAAGAAAGTGTTTACCTCACTTGCCTCATTGCTCAGACCCAGAGTACAGGATTTGGACATCATGTTAAGTTTGTACAGGACGTCGGTGAGGCCCCTTTTGGAGTACTGTGCGCAGTTCTGGTCAGCCTGCTATAGGAAGAATACTATTAAATTGGAGAGGGTTCAGAAAAGATTTACCAGGATATTGCTGGGACTACACGGTTTCAGTTATAAGGATAGGCTGGGACTCTTTTCCACTGGAGCGTAGGAGATTGAGGGATCACCTTGTAGAGGTTTATAAAATCATGAGGGGTACAGATAAGGTGAACTGCAAGAAGTGTTAGATGTGGGTACAGTTACAATATTTAAAAGATATTTGGATAGGTACATGAAGAAGAAAGGTTAAGACGGATATGGGCCAAATGCAGGCAAGTGGGACTAGTTTAGTTTGGGAAACGTGTTTGCCATGGTGAGCTAGAGCAAAGGGTCTGTTTCCGTGCTGCGTGCTGCATTGTCTCTATGATTGGTAAAGATGTCTGTGTTTGGTAGGGTTGGCATTCATCGCGATGATAGGATTTTCATATGGGGAGTTGGGTGGTTGGGGGGCGGGGAGTGTCACCAGGTTTATAGTGAGCAAGCTTTCTACCTTCTTCTGATTCAAATGCAGGGTCCTTGTTTTGGTCGATGTCAGGCATCATTTACTTCTACCAGCAGTTGAAATACCCCAAGCAATTACTGCATAGTCAGTGCATCGGGACTTCTGGGACACCCCAGTGTGCATTTTAAGGGTATATCTGGGGCAGTTCAAGATGGTTCTAGGATTGAATCTATTTGGCTTGCATTGAGAAGTAGCTGTTTTCTCATTTGCAATTCTTTTTTGAATTGAGCTCCAAAATGTGACAAATAGCTAAACGATTAAAATATGTTGGCACATTTCAAAAGGTAAGTAAAATGAAAGGTATCTTGAATTCCTCTTAACATGTATGGAGGAAAAAGTGCTAAGAGCAGGGAAGGAATCCTGATGCATGCAGGCTAACTTTTATGATAAAAATGCTTCCAGCCTAATAAGGAACAAAAGCAGTGTTCGATCTGACTTTGAAACCAAAGTGGAAGATACAGCTCATGGTATGAAGTTGCTGAATTCAATATGGAGTCCTGAAGGATGCTAAATATCTAAGTGGAAAATTATGTGCTAATCTTCCAGCTAGCACTGAGCTTCATTGGAACACTACAGCAGAACACTAGGACAGAGATGTGGGCATGAGGGCAGTTTGGTGCTTTGAACAGTAAGGAACTGGAAGGTTAGTGTCATTCTTGTGGGGGTGCTCTATAAAAGCAGTCACCCAGTCTGCATTTGGTCTCACCAATGAGGAGACAACCATATTGTGAGCAGCAAATATGACAGATTAGATTGAAAGAAAATCCTACGCCAGTTCCATCATCTCCATCAGGATGCCACCACCAAACATATCCTTCCCTCCCTTTTGCTATCAGGATTACAGAGGGACTATTCCCCGTCCACTGCTCTGTCATTCTTAACATCTCCTAAACACCAGACCCCAGCACCATCCATGCACTCGCAAGTGTATTACATGTCCCTTGATCTTCTCCCTCCTCACTGTCCAAGGCCCGAAACATACATGCAAGGTGCAACGGTGATTTACTTCTGCTTACCTCTCCCCTACCATTATAAGCATTCCCTTTGCCTTTCAGTTTGGGCGCCAATCCTATTTATTTCACTTGATCCGCCTCCCTCCATTTTTTCACACAAAGAAACAATGTTTTTCCAGCCTTTTTCAGTTCTGAAGACGAGTCATATTGGACTTGAAATGTTAGCTCTGTTTCTCTCTCCACAGACGCTGCCAGAGTTTCTCCAGCATTGTTTATATTTCACAATACCTTCTGATTCAGTTTTAAAATAAAAGACAGAAAACAAAAAAAAAAAGAGTGCTTGCAAAATGATCAAACTACAGGAAGATATTATGTATATACATCTCCTCTTCAATTAATTTTTTTTCCAGTCATGTTAAATTAAACTTTGATATCAGGAGATAATTCCAGGTTTAATTCTGGGTTCACTTCAGCAGTTGTACCAGCCACTGCATACAGTGGACAACACATATGCACCCAGTAAGTGGTGCAGACTATGCCTAAGCATTTAACCTTTATGATCAAATATACTTTGTAAATCACATGCTCTTCGTTGCTGTATTTCTTTTTTAAAAATCACATTCAGACCCAATCAACTCTTCCAATATCTAATAACATTACTTTCAGAAGGGTGCACCTCCATTGTTGCATTGATCTGTCAGTCTGCCCATACCAAAGGGTGCTGCTACTTTTCTTCGACTCTACTGCCTTGATTAAGTGGAAGCCCCAAATTGCCTTACAATCTTAGTCCTCACTTTGAAGAGTTTGCAGGTACTGGATAATGTGAGCTTATAAAAGTACGCTGTTGTGGTTATACTGTTGTAAGCTATTTCATGACTATTTTGTATTTCTACACGTCACCACAGCACCGCTACTTTATAACCTGATACGTGAAATGTTTTAATACGGCTGTTACCTACGTGCTGAAAATGTGTGTTTTACCCAACTGGAATAAATAATTGCAATCTCTACTACTAACCTCATTTAAAACACATTCAATGTCAACTTAAGTATTCAAGTTAAATAGAAGGCAGGCAAATAATGAAAAAACGAGGGGAAGATAACAGATGCAGTCAATTCCTCTTGAACATTGCCCCATTTTATATTTTCATCTTAACATTGTTCAGTCAATGTGTTCTGCAATCTCATTTGCAGTTGAATGATGCATTTTTAAGTTGTTTTGCATGGTATGAGGTCCGGTTGCATGACCCAATTGGTGATAGTCTAGAGCAGTTTCTTCTGCTACCTAGCTCATCATGTTGCTGCCAACCAACCAACTTGCAGTCTTAGTCACAGCAACGGTTCAGGAGAAGGAAAGCAGTGAATGGCAGAGTCAGACAGCAGGAGGTCCAGAGTGAAGGAGGATTGAGGGTGAGTATGGGGTCAGCAGAGGCTTCAAACTGAAGTCTCCGAGAAAAAAATCTTCAGCAACCTGAATGTTAAAAGAGCGGGATGTGTGGGGTGACCAGGAGGTTAACAAGCAGCAAGCAAGACACAAGTAGGAAGTTACTATTTATTTCACTGTACACTTTTAATTTATTTTTATTTTTAAAGGTTTTTCGTTTCGACAAAAAGGAAATTATAAACATGCAGGGCTTTTGTTTCTGATCAGGAACATCTATCAGAACCTAAATACAGCTTTACATCAGTTTTAAGGGGAATGTGTAACTTGCTTAAAGTTGGAATTTTCAGGAATGCAGCCACGACTTTAAGTGAGGATTTACTGCGATGTCTGGAAAATACAGGAATAAAGGGAAGTGCAATTGAGAAGTCAAAGGTTGAAAGTGGGGACTGAAGCATGGAACTAGCAGCTGGATATCAGGGAGAAGCAATACACAACAGTGAAGGCTGCAGTGAGTCAATGCAATTTGCAGTGGCGTGAAGTGCATGGTACGAAGAGGATAAGGGATGGCTGCATGCTGCTGCACCGGGGAAATTCAGTACAGTAGGAGCAGTCCAAGTGGGGAATTTGGTCTCTGGAGTTTCGTTGGGAAGAAACTAACTGCCAGTGAGAATGGGAAAGGCAGCCAACTGCTCTGTAAGAGATGTGTAGCATGATGTGGTCCAGTGGAAATTAGTATACAATTTTGCTCAGTTGGAGAATGTCCAGGTGGAATTATGGCCTGTGGGGAGAAGACAGCTGAACAATAAATATTTTCATCAGTTGTGGGGACAGGGGGAGGCATAAGGAGAGACAAAGGGAGAAAGCTGAGGCTGGAGCACTGGGGGAATACAGCTCAATTAGAAAGGTGAAGACAGAGAGGGCAGTAAGTTTCTTTGGGGTAGACAAATAGCTTGGGAAAGGGAGATGGGTGTAATCACTTATCCCCAGTTGAGAGAAGGTGCAATGAGCTAAAAAAGCCCATGATGCGGTGTGGATGAGTCGAGAGGGAACCACTTACTCCATTGTCAGAAGTAACTATTCTCTCTCAAACCTCCACCACTTGTGACTCTCATTACTCCATAGGCCACAGACTTTCTATAAATGTCAAACATAATTCCTGTTGTCACACTTTCTAAAGCTCAATTTGATGGTGCACATCTATAAAACATATTTCCTCTTGCGAAAGCAATGTCATGGGAGATTTGAATATGCATATAACCATTACATTTCACATACGTCCTTCATACAGCAGACATCACATTTAGTTCCAAAAGGGCAAAGGCATGAATCAAATTTTAGCACCAACACTTCCCCGAGACTGGCAAAATTCAAATAATTTTCTTTTCAAAAAAAAACAGGGCCCAAAAGTGCCACTTTTATGTCAAATTCTGCAATTAGCTTCAGCTACCAGCAATATAGATCCTGTGAAGTAGATAGGAAATGTGGAAGCGTTAAAGATGGAGACAAATTACTTGCACATTAGCCCGTTCAGTCTCCTGGGGTGCAGTGAATAAAACACTGAAATTTTGCAATGTAATTCTTTTGATGAATGTTAAATCCTAAGAGAATATGCCACTGCAATCACTTTTTGTTTTCAAATTGTCAAATTAAAGGAATTAAATTTCACAAAACGACACAGTGGGATTTGAACTTGTAATACTAGCCTAATATCATAAACCTGCGCAGGAAGTCAATGAGTTGGTTGATATTGAGCAGTAGAAAACAGGAACATGGAGAGCAAATTCCATTGCTGACTATCTACAGTCCACTGTAATTCATTCGCCATACTTAATTCACGTAGGAACATATTATAGAGATCAGTTCATCAGTCAGAACTAACATACTGCAAAATCCATCAGGTTTTGATTGGATGAATAATCCTGGCATGTTAGCTACCATATTGCTTACAAGGAAGTTTAACTTACGGTGGGGTTCTACCAGAAGCATAGCCTCCTTCTCAGACATTACCAGTTGACAAAATTGGTCACCGACATTTGCCAAAATATATTTGGATGTTTCCAAATCCAGGCCTTCTGCAGGTGTACGTGATGGGATCCAAAGACTCAGGGCTTCAGCATCACACTGTCTGGGATTTAGGAAACCCCCAACACGTAGGACACCAGTCCTAGTAAATGCTAGTCTGGAAAAAAAAGTGTACAGTATTATGCATTGCATCTCCAACAACTAATCTGAACACATGCAGAAAAGATTAATTCGAGTAATAACATTTATAAAAATATGTACCAACAATGTCAAAATATCTTGCATACTCTGAGTTTGTGAGCCAGCATCAATTCTGGCAATTGCTAATGTGCTCAAAATAGAAGTGTTCACTCATCGGTCAAGGTCCAAGAAAGCTGATTATGCTCAGTGTTAAGCACTGGGTGCAAAATGACCATGGTCCTCTGCATTTTTGATGTCAAAGAAAACAGAAGTTAAAATCAATCCAGATAGCTACAGAGCTACCACAAATGCATTATCAGATCAAGGCCATAATTAGAAAGTGATTTGCATATTCACTGCTCTAAGATGATGAATTTTCTATAAATTATTCAAAAAATTGAAATTGAGTCGGAAAAGCCACAGTTATTGTTTCATATCCTCTGGAAGTCTCAAATACTCATATCCAATGAATATTTCTCAACTGCAATCACCCTTAGGAAAATGAAAAAAATTATATATGAAGCTCCACAAACATCAGTAAGTTAAACTATTTTCTTGATGATGATTGAAGGATATAAAGGTGGTGGTCAGGATACCAGAAGAAGAATTCAAATAGCACCCAAATCCTTTATTGTTACAGAGATAGTAGGAACTGCTGATGCTGGAGAATCTGAGACAACAAGGTGCAGAGCTGGATGAACACAGCAGGCCAAGCAGCATCAGAGGAGCAGGAAAGCTGACGTTTCGGGCCCAGACCCTTCTTTAGAAATGGGGGAGGGGAAGGGGATTCTGAAATAAATATGGAGAAAGGGGGAGGTGGATAGAAGATGGATAAAGGAGAAGATAGGTGGACAGGAGACACACAGGTCAAGGAGATGGGGTTGGAGCCAGTAAAGGTGAGTGTAGGTGGGGAGTTAGGGAGGGGATAGGTCAGTCCAGGGAGGACGGACAGGTCAAGGAGGCGGGATGAGGCTAGTAGGTAGGAGATGGGGGTGGGGCTTGAGGTGGGAGGACTGGATAGGTGGGAAGACAGGTTAGGGAGGCGGGTACGAGCTGGGCTGGGTTTGGGATGCTGTTGGGGGAGGGGAGATTTTGAAGCTTGTGAAGTCCACATTGATACCATTGGGCTGCAGGGTTCCCAAGCGAAATATGAGATGCTGTTCCTGCAACCTTTGGGTGGCATCGTTGTGGCACTGCAGGAGGCCCAGGATGGACATGTCGTCTGAGGGGTGGGAGGGAGAGTTGAAATGGTTCGCGACTGGGCGGTGCAGTTGTTTGGTGCGAACCGAGTGTAGGTGTTCCACAAAGCGGTCCCCAAGCCTCCACTTGGTTTCCCCGATGTAGAGGAGGCCACAACAGGAACTGCGGATACAGTATACCACATTAGCAGATACGCAGGTGAACATCTGTTTTATGTGGAAGGTCTTCTTAGGGCCTGAGATGGGGGTGAGGGGGGAGGTGTAAGGGCAGATGTAGCACTTCCTGCGGTTGCAGGGAAAAGTGCCGGGGCGGTGGGGTTGGTGGGGACTGTGGAGCGGACAAGGGAGTCACCGAGAGAGTGGTCCCTCCACGAAGCAGATAAGGGTGGGGAGGGAAAAATGTTTTTGGTAGTGGGGTCGGATTGCAGATGGTGGAAGTGTCGGAGGATGATGCGTTGGATCCGGAGGTTGGTGGGGTAGTACCTAAGGACAACGGGGATTCTGTTTCTGATTCTGCGGGGAGGGAGTGTGAGGGATGAGTTGCAGGAAACGCGAGACACACGGTTGAAGGCATTTTCGACCACTGTGGAGGGGAAGTTGCGCTCCTTGAAAAACGAGGACATCTGGGATGTCCGGGAGTGGAATGCCTCAGCTCGGGAGCAGATGCAGCAGAGGTGAAGGAATTGGGAATAGGGGATGGCCTTTTTGGAGGAAGGTGGGTGAGAGGAGGTGTACTCTAGGTAGCTGTGGGAGTCAGTAGGCTTGAAATGGATATCGGTTTCCAGGTGGTTGCCAGAGATGGAGACAGAGAGGTCCAGGAAGGGGAAAGAGGTATCGGAGATGGTCCAGGTGAACTTAAGGTTGGGGTGGAAGGTGTTAGTGAAGTGGATGAACTGTTCGAGGTCCTCGTGG